TACAGGAACAAATTTCGGACCTTAAGTGCTTCACAACCGATATATCTAAAAACACTTGTTGATCCCCATGTTTTCTTTGGTTCCAATGATCTTTTAGTGTTAACACAATGCTTTTAGTAAGTGTAGTCCTCTAGGTCATTTTGGCTATGACAAGCTAATCATCCATATGGTCTGCCCAGCTTTAACAACAAAAAATCGGCAAGACTGACCACGGCACACGTAAGGGTAATGCATAAATCGGTGGTGGGTTTTCTACAAATACTGATTGTCAAACAAGGAATCGCAATTGGATAAGATTTGCGATTGTGCTTATGCTGATTACAGACAGGACTGAAATTTCAGCTCGAGCAAGGATAAATTGAAATAGCTCCACAGAGAACGCGAAATATGTCATGCATCTTTGAACGGGAAAAGGATATTCCATCCAAGTGACTGCACAATAAAAGATCCCCAGGCTGAACTAACCACATGGCGTTATCCATCTATAACCTATTCATTTACAGTCACTACTGCTTTCGGCACTTGCTAGACAACATGCATTTCTCGGTCGTCCTACAGACGTAATTTTGCTCGGTGTTAACTTGAATAAAGCATATTTTCCCAGAAAAAAACACTAGAATTGCAAGTAATTAAGTCGAATTGCAGTCCTCACCAATAGATGTGACGTTTTACTGTGCTGCAATCGGGACGCGTAATACTAACTCAAAAAGACAAACTCACTCCGACTGTCACATTTTGTTTATGAAAGCCAGAAACCTGCATTGCACTGGGGCTGACTGCTTGTTTGCATCTTACTTTGCACAAAGTCGTCTCCTTTACCTATTATCTGTGAGCGGCCTGGACCACATCGCTTGGCTTTGGCGGGTGCGTCAGGCTAAATGTCTAAGCGACGGTCATATGACAAACTTATGAATACTCCTCAGAAGATCCAGCTTACTCTAGATTTCGGCCAGAAAGATATCGGACCTAGGCTCTGCAAGGAATGCCATATGGTTTACACAGTTGGAGATGCCGCTGATTTAAAGTCTCACGCCAAATATCATGCGAAGTTTTCCAACCAAATAGTTAAGGTGAGATATGTTCCTACTAAAACGTTTGTCTTAGATGCCTTGTTATTACCTTTTGCTGATTTATAGATGTATTTCAGTTGTCTCAGATAAAAGATGGGAGGTGCCTTAATGTGTGCTAGTTCGTCTGAGTTGTACCGTCTCTCATAGTTCTATATCTGATAATTTACGTAACAGCCAATTATATAAGCAATTCACCTCATTCCTCTTTATATCGCCTGATGGCCTTGCAATCGTAAATTGTAGTTATTTTGCCCTAGCAACATCCCGGAGCTCACTGAACTCTGCTCATCAAGCCGGCATATACTTCTTCACATTTGTTTTATACGGATAATTCGACCGTAGCTAACGACACTGTCCACCGCTGCCCTACGAGGTGGTCTGAGGAATGACGTGCGCGTGAACTTATTTATGGTGTTGCAGACTTGCGTAGTATCAATGTCTCTCTCCCCATGACTACCGCACTCCGGTGGCAAGACGATATCAGGTCAAATTGAGAGGGGCGTGAACAACAGTGGCTAACAGCTCTAAATGTCCCGCATACACGTGCCACATCCAATATAGTTCCCGCTTTACACATACTAGGCTGCAATAAGGCGTAAGGGGGGGGATCACAAATCTCAAGGTAGTGAGAATTCCGCAAAGGCTACATAAGAGTGCATTTCAGGTCGCCCCTCAGTTCTGAGAAGGATTGACTTATTTCGTCGGTCGACAACCTTTCAAGTCAGGACCCTTAGTGCTTTGTGATATATTCTTATACTTACTTGTACTTGGCACGGCTGCGATCATACCTGACCTAGCCGGCCTGTCTGATGTCACAAACTGTACCTCTCCACGCGTGACGATCCGCGGCAGCATATGTGGACAGTCAAACTCATTCTCTTCGCCAACCACGGAGACCGAATACCGAACGTCCAAGAACCACCATCATGTCTTGACGAACCGTGTCGAGCCAGGTTTTGAGTTGACCCTCTCCGACGCCTCCAGTGGATAACGGTTCCGGATCAAGGGCAATAACACTGGGCTCCTGAGGTGGACGACGAAGAACATGCCCGAACGACCTCACTCACCTTTCTTGGATGGCTTGAGTTATTCTTGCGATGTTGTCGCAGTGGGTGCGGACTGTCTCATTTGAGGTGAAGTCGATGTACTTCACTCGAAGGAGGGTTCCTCAGGCAGTGGTGGTCAAATACCTCCAGTTTTCGCTCGTTCTCCACACGCACAGCCCAGCATTCACAACCATAGACGGACGAACCGGACAGATGCACGGTACAAGTAAATCTTGGTGGCAATGGAGATGTCGCGTCGGATCCATATGCATTTTCTAAAGCTTCAGAAAACCTGTCGGACAGCATCGATTCGGGAGACCGTGTCATCCTTACTGTGGCCATTCGGCGGCAGCCTCACCCCGCGGTATTTAAAACTGTCTACTTCTTCAAGTTGACAGCCATTAATCCGGAGAAGTGCCTTCTCCTGGTCAGCGATGCAGCTTGAAAACACATTAGTCTTCCCAACGTTTATGGATAAACCGACCGATTTAGCAACCTCGTTCACCCGTGACGCCATATACTGCAGATCACCAAAACTTGGAGCAAGTGAGGCAATATCATCGGCATAGTCGAGATCAGTCAGTCGGCGTCCGGGTAGGAACTCAGCACCATAACCTTCGTAGTTGAACAGAATGGGCGGCAGGATACAACCCTGTCGAACGCCAGACCGAATACCAAACGGTTGGGAAAGATTGTTGCGGACCAGGACTCTCGCAGTAGTGGAGCGATAATAGGCCTTGATCATGGCGATAATTTTTGGCGGTACGCCATCTGGTGCTATTATCCCCATAGAGACTCACGATGGACGAAATCGAATGCAGCGGCAAAGTCAACAAAGCAGACGGCCGTCGGTTGCTGGTAGCTATGGCGAAATTCGAGAATGCGCCTCAGTGTGAATACTTGGTCCCTAAATCCACGTTCAGCCCAAAATCCGGCTTGGTTGGGCCTCGTCCGAGGGTCACACACGGTCTGGAATCGTCTGAGTAGGACAATAGCGAAGATCTTCGCAGCAACGTCGATGAGGCTTATGCCGCGGCAGTTCCCGCATCTTGTCTTATCTCCCTCCTTGAGGATAGGTATTAGGAGGCCGAACCCCCAGTCATTAGGAGCAGCCTCGTCTCTCTACGCTTGTTCAATCACCTCATGGAGCCAGGGCGCCAGAGTGTCGACACAAGACTTGTAGATTTCAGCGGGTATACCGTCCTCTCTGGGTGCCTTATTGTTTCGTAACTTTCGTATGGCATCGGCGACTTCTCCTTCAGAGTGGCGGGTCGCGTGGCACTGCGTAGGTGGGAGAGGGAAGAAACTCCGCTGATAAGGAGAGCAAGGGTGAGGTAGGTTTTTGTATCGAAGTTGAGATGGTGCTCGAAGTGTTCACCTCAGTGTTCGACTTTAGCCGAGTTGTTAACAATAATGCCGCCATTCATGTCCCGAACTGAGTCACTCAGTGTAGAGGGCTTATTACCAACTTGACGGATAAGTTGGTAGAGTTTTCGGGTGTCACCAACGTTCGAGGCCTGTTCCGTGGAGGTCGCTATTTCAGCCCAATATTGCTTCCGGTCATCCCTGGCCGATTTTGCCGTCATCTTCCGAAGTTGGCGGAAGCAGTCATCGTTACGAGACCTGGCTCGAACCGTGTGAGCAGACCACTGCAGGTTTTTTCCGCTGATACAGTCACTGCGGCGTCGCTGGGTGTGTCCAAAGACTTTCTCAGCTGCCCCATAGACTGATGTTTTCAGTGACGACCACTGGTTACTGACTTCTCCGTCGGCTCGGGTCGTAAAACAAGTCCGGATTTCTCTGCTCAGGACCTCGGCAGTGCTAGTTTGCCGGATTTTTGCGACATCGAGGCGTCTAGGACGTGAAATTTTTGGCACGGATGAGAGATGAACTTTCAAGCGTGTACGGACCAATGGACGTTACCAGTCTCTACACCACGCATCGATCTGCTATCGTGAACCCAGCTGCGGAACCGTGAGCTGACTAGTATGTAGTCAGTCTGACTGACCATATGACTGTCGTTTGAACACCAGGCCAGCAGACACTGAAAACACGTTGGTGACGAGCAGTCAGTGGAACCAAGCCCAAAGCGGCCAAGACGAATGTTTGTTGAGTCGCCAGGTCCAGTCCGACCATTCCCATCCTCGGCAACAATCAGCACATCGCGACGAGGGAGTCTTTCAACTAACGTTTGCAACTGTGAGTAAAACGCCTCCTTAACGCGCTGTTTGGCGGCTGAAGTTGGTGCGTACACAGAAACGATGGAGATGTTCGTGAAGTCACCTTCACGCAGGCCATCCGGTCATTCACTGGTTCCCAAGCAAGTAGCGCGAGGTCCGCTTTTTACGAGAGGGCAATGGCCACCTCGTGTCTACCGGAAGAGTCCCGCGGGCCGCTGTGGCATAGGGTGAAGTGTGATTCGACTCCAGAGATCTTTATTTTCTTGAGAGCCCGAACCAGGAAGTCAAACTTCAGACAGACAGCAGACATCCACGTTGTACTGATCAAGACTGCGCGTGATCAGACTTCGGGTACCGGGATCCAGGTACGTTCGCACTTTCCAGCATCCCATACCAAGAGTCCGTCCCTAACTAATTAGTCCAGCTCAAATACTATTCGCCCGCACCACTGCACCAGATTTGCGGGGCGCGTCGATTCCCGCGGACGCCGTAGCATTGGTGGTGAAGCTGTGGTCGGACATATTTCACGAGGTTTCTTGGAAATTTCGAATACAGGCGGGTCCCCAACAGTCGCCCGGATTGTTTGTTCGAGGTTGTCTCCTCTAGCGCTTTCGCTTCAAAACATAACCACACGGCAGCGCTGGCAAGCAAACTTATTTAATAGCGGTTTACGGTCGCCATGTCACAGTGCCGTCATTGAGCTTTGCGGCTTTTTTTTACAAGGCTTTCAGCGTACGCGTCACATTGATTATAGAGAGGATTACGCTGATTTGGCAGGAGGATGGGTTCCCTACTGTCGACTTTCACCTTTCATTTTTTAAAATGCCAATGGCTTGTCCGGGCCAAGCCTGCCGGGAGTGACATTGGGTGCAGTAGCTGACAGGACCAGGCATCCCGTCCGTGCGTGCCGCACACAGCCTGGCCCCCATCCTACTACGGCAAATGACACGTCTCGCATGAAAGTGAGATGTGCAGTTTGAGTGCTACGTCCCGTCCGTCATACCGGCACTAGCAAATCGAATTGCATGAATACAGTGAAATTACCTGTGATGTGTCGTTAGTAAGTATCGTACATGTCCGTTATGGAGTTGGTCAACGTATAGCCCAGGTATGTATAGTGTGCACGTAGGGAAAGATGTTGCGAGGACCTCGACGGTTTTGTCTTACAAGACTTTCGTGGATGCCTCTGTGACCCAATGTCCTGGAACAGCGTTGCCGGGTGGGATGTAAATGACAGACGTACGTTGGGACCCTGTGCACTGATTCGCTAATCTCGATGCGGTGGATTCGCGTGCGACCGAAGGTGCGGTTACGATCAAAACTGTGTGGAACTGTGCCCATGATAGTGGTATGGAGTAGACTGATGACTTGTGGTTCTTGGTATCATGAATTCCCTACTTGTCACGTAGTCTTCAGTCCTCAAGGCAGACACTTGGGGTCACTGTCATTCAGTTTCCCCGTCTTGGCTCTCAGTTCGTCGGTGTGCTTCTTGCAAGACCTCATCCTAAGTACTGAAATTCGTGTGTTTTCTTTGCAGGTTTCACGTTGGCAAAATCAGAAAGTCTTGGAAGAATATTTTGACGGTTCCAGGATCATTGAAATTCCTCAGGATGATCGTATTGGCATGGCGTTATTCCAGCGTCTTTCGGAACTTATGGCCAGAGATCTCGGATATGACCGTCCTACATATGACGTTTCGAAGCATTTAAATCACTTTTGTGATACTTCGGGTGATAAGTTGCCCCCCTATGTACGGATATTTGTGTTTGTTGAAGGCAAGAAGAAAACTGCCGTTGGTTGTTGCCTTGCAGAAGAGTTGACAGTGACGTCAACTCAGCAACACGGTTACGACCTTCAGCGGCTTACTGGTGGCCTCAGAAGTCTGCTTTCGTGGCGTATTCAGTCTGGGCTAGTGGACGGGGACAACGCCCTGACTGGAAGCGCATCCGAAGCGAAGACTTGCCCAGCTAAATCTTCCTCCCAGCTACCTTTGTGTGGCATTCGACGTTTATGGGTTTCACCACAGCATAGGCGTCAGAAGACGGCTACCACTTTAGTCGACTGTGTCCTTAAAAATCTCTATTACTTGACACATTTGACCCGAGACCAAGTTGCCTTTTGTGAGCCAACTGCCGATGGTGCTGACTTCGCAAAGAGTTATACCGGCCGAGAGGATTTTATAATCTACTAACGGCTTGACTCACGAATTTGTAAATATGGTTTCTCGTGTATTTTGTAATTTGCGTTCCTGTTGTTTACATTTATTTTTCCATCGTTTTGAAACAAAATTTCCGGGGAAAAAACATTAAATAACTGACTACCAACCGGTAACAAAGGTAATCTTTCAGCAAATACCACCAAACTCGGCTCACCTTCGCTCAAGAGCCGTGAGCGCCGAAAGGGCTGCCTGGCTTTCGATTGATAACCAAGGACTACGGTTAACTTCCAGAGCACTCCGCTGCACTTAACTCTTAAGTCACTGAAACTATTTTCCAGGCTCCTTTTGCGTAGCGGTCCCCCATCTTTAGCTTTTTTGTCGAGACCGAGAACCCTATGCATAGACTTATGTACCTAACTAAATTCCAAGTGGCCATCGAAACGACTTTGGTCTAAATGCTTTGGGCTTCTACACCGTCCGGGGTCCTCTCGGTTCAAGTAGCTTAAATGCCACTATTTCACAGACGTCACTGGCTAACTTTGACCGTGTATCCGTGCAACAAAGGTTTTCCAATCTTTTATTTTATTTTCTTCGAAGGACATTTCACGCGGAAGTGTGGTGGCACCAACTGCCGACCAGCCTGACTTCGGAGGTCCCTTGGCGACAGGTCCACAGAACAAATAGGGGCTGCCCCATAGTCCGATAACTTTCACGGTGATTTTGCATATTTAAATAACCGCCATTCAAACTTGCAAGGCCTACACAAAACTACTGTTTCTGCTCTGTCATAAAACTAGTTAGTATAATCTGCCTCACAAATGCCGTCACGGTTAAACCCGCGGTGGGATGATTCGTGACAAGGTACCGGCCCCTGTAGCAGCTAAAACTGAAGTTAATGGCTTCAATGGACGCCTGGGGATGTCGATCGTGCCCGCCCTTGAGCTGACCGTCCTGCCCTGCATTTGCCGACAACCATGTCAAACGCCCGTTAGTTGTCCGAGATATCCTGCTGATGCTGTGACGAATGCAGACGGTCCCACTTGGGACAAGGACCGATTTAGCCTATGTCAACCAAAATGCGGCCGCTTCGGCGTCGTAAGGATCGCGTAGAGTTGTAAATCTGGTCGACCCCGGTACCACCTCAAGTCACCTAAAAATACGGTCGAGACATGTTCTTCGTGCTTGCCCAACGAGTCCAGCGCTGCCACCCCAAATCCGACGTCTGGCTGGGACGTCCAACGAATTCACATGTAAACCGGATTCGACAGTTTTTAAAGGAATGGCGATTCTGTGACGTTGGCTACTTTGCTGCATTGCTCATGGCGGCTCACCAGATCTGTTGTCGCGGACCGTTGAGTTAGCAGAGGCACAAAGAGTTGGACCAGGACGGCTCACTATCAGAAAGAGAGGGTGTTGAACTCAACAAACCTCGGTGTTTGGGAATTTGAACGCCAGCGGAGCAGCAACTGCCAAGCATATATTTGATCTCAGGTCAAGAGACGCATTGGTCCGCAATGCCGTGCAGACTAGACCAGTGTTGCTGACAGCGAACACAATCAACAGATATGTACCGTGGCAAAAAGGGGCTGCAGCATGCCTTCCCCAAAGATAGCATTATAAGTGAAATTAACAACAAAGCCGATGTGATTTAGATGGACGAGAAGACTAGTATGTACAGTTGGAGCTCGAGTGTCAGGAAGGGGGATTTAAGCTGATTAGCTGAAAATACTCAGGACTCCCGCTTTTCCGCGTTCATCTGGGCCACAGCTAATGCAATTTTGTGTTCCTGAAAAAGAGAGGGCGATCTTGATTAGGAAAATCAAAACAGGCGATGTTTCTTGGGAGACAAGATATCGGTGACTGATTATAATAAAGTCGCCGTATTTGCGCGTTTTCCGGCCGCACATTAAACAGAGTATTGCGGTCAAAGCTGGTGTTTACACCCCAGTATGAACGGAACTTGAAAAGACACTGGCCTAAATATCTATAGATTTTTTCAAATATGAAAAATACAATTTGGAGTGCCAAATTAATAAAGTCCGAAACAGCATTGTCGACAAAGACAAGGGACACTGGAGCGGCCATTTCTGACTTGTTAGCCGTCGTCAGCCAGTCATACCCAAGCCCGAGGTGCGTAGCACCGCGACCTGTTGGCTAGAAGTCCAACGCACCTAACCACTGAGTCGCGAGCTCGTTGTCTCGTCAGTTGCGAAACGTGATATCGCGAGGATCCATACTTGTTCTCCCAACAAGCTTGTCCTTTGATTTTTGCTTGAGGTCTTACTTTTTAACTGAAAGCGTGGGCAAGACTTAAAACTGAAGAATGAAACCCAACCTGATTGTGCCACTGGAAACAAAAAATTAAACTACAAAATTGCAACCTAAAGATTTCGAAACATGGGCTTAGATGTCAACGGGTGGGAACGGTGGCGGTATCTTGATTCTGCTTGGGAGGCATGCCGCCTGGTTCGAATGGATAGTATTTTTCAGCAGGGATGAAAGCCCGAGAATGTGTTCAGTGTGAGGGTATATGCCCAGGAGGTAAGAAGCCGTGGCACCATGCAACAGACTTAGTGAAAGAATTTAAGTCTGGAAAAAGCGGTTGGGGTTTTCGTGCAATGTTTTCCAAATTGGGACTGGTAGTGTATGGTGGTGGACAGCCTATGCTGTCTTGAACGCAATCATTTACTAAAATGGGAACTGATGGGGCTGTGACGTGGACAAGGGCAAATATTCGAGCAGGGTGCCAGAGGAGATCAAAGATTTCTTTTCGCACGGCTAAGGTAAATGCCTGAAGTTGGCAGGAGTGTTGGGCCAGTTAATTCTCTTATTGCAATATATGAGAGCTCATAGGTTTTGTTTTACAACCGATGAACTGAAAAGCAACCACTTTTTTAATTACAGGACATTCTCAAATAACGCATGCTTCATTTGGCTCAGCGCCCTTCTGCTGGAAGGTGCCCGGAGCTGTCCATTTGCTGTTACACCGTACTGCGATTATGTGGGTGGGAAACTTTACCTTCTGAAAAAAGAACGACTAGGTGGTGCCATCTCCAAACCTTCGCGCGCCTCCAATGGCTGCACAAGTGCCCAAGTCTAACTTAGTCGACCGGTTTTCTGAAAGTTGTTCCTAGTCCGGCGGAACTTTTGCATTGTACCGTTTTAAAATGGCCGCGCAAGCCTTTCATGCCTTCTGTGTCTGTTTTAGAATACGGCAACTGCCCTGCATGTTAACTGATAACGGCTTATTGCCCCGAAGACAGTAGGTGCTGCGCGAGGGGGTGGCGAGAGCAGACACTTGGCTGCGATTACACCCAGGACGATAGGCCCCAATCGTAGGCTGTGGTTTACCCCAGTATGCGTGAACGTGGCTTCGGCCTCCTCAGTCGCTGCACTGCTGGAGCACAATGGGTGTAGCAATGGACAGTGGGATAGATGCCACATAATTCCGCCCCACCATCAGTAAGCTACTGCCAAAGTCATCGCTGCACCCTTTCCAGGACAGCTGTGGGCCATGAAGAAAGTGGTGGGCGAGGAAGCGTTAGAGAAAGGCGATAACTACAACAAGAGGCCGCAACCAGTGCTTTTTTCTTCAGAGGTCACTGTTTCAATTCAGCACGCACCGTTAGCACAAATAAATAGGCAGGGCGAATTTGACCACGAGAACCGTATAGCCTTTCTTCCACAAGCCAGCGAAGGGTGTAGTCAAGCAGGATGGGAAACAGATTACAACCTCATTGAACGCCAGGCCGAATGTCGAATGGTTGGAAAGCTGTGAAATATTAAAACCTGAACGGTGTGGCATTAGCAGCGACGATTTTTGCCGGTATTGTTCGGCTTCAGAATGCGCCACAAGGACTTATCAACGGAGCCTAGCTTGCCAATAGGGGACGAAGAAACGAATCCCAGGAAGCAGTTGTGAATGACACGATAGCTGGAACAGTCACACTTATAACGGAGGCAGGAAGACAGACGTCCGTTTGTTTTTGGTATCCATGGTGGAGTCTAATACTGTGCCACAACGTTAATATTTGGTCGATGCATCCCCACCGAGCTGGGAACTTGGCTTAGTTGGGTTTAGTTTTCAAGTCATGCACACTCGAAAACCACCCAAATATGGTAATGGCAAAGATCTTTGCGGCAGCTTCGATGAGACGTAGTGGCGATCCTCTGTACTCCGGGTGGATGAGCTATCAAACTAAGCCGTTTTGGCACAGAACCGTTTTAGGACCCAAGTGGCTTCTTGAACCAATGACGGCAATGTCGGTAATGATTAAGCCAATTGAATTTTACAGGTTCAAAGCATCACATGATTGCTATCAATGGATCAGTCGGAAGTAGACTCACGCGCAGTTGAGTCATTTGGCATGCGAGTCTTGCAGACCGCAGGACCAGGTGTGCGTTCTAAATCAACTTTGACTATATCTAACCCCGTAGTAGGCTGTTGCGATAGTGGGTTCCGAAAGACTCGGTTTACTAGCATAATTTTTCATCATTACTACTGTTGAAGTGTCACGCTTACTTGCTCCGTCATGGGCGTCATTTGCTGCTCATCGTTAAGGATAGTGTGATCATTGCTGGAAAAGCCAAACTAGCTGTTGAATGTTAGTTAAGCAAGCACATACTGTTGACAAAACAGCATTCATTAAGTCCTTACTGGTAGACAGCCCTGCAGATACGATTTATATGGCAGAACCCACCCACTAGTACGAGCTCACCTTCACGGCATTCATTATGGCTTGAAGGTCAGCTTGGATGTCTTCTTCGTCCAGCTCGTAGATCAGACGGGGAAGGGATGGAGGTAGTGCCACAGGCTTTCTTCGTGGCTCCAGATCCTGGCTGGGCAGATAGGTCTCGTTATAGTCATCTTCCATATCCCCTGCCGCCAAAGGAGCGGGGGCTGTCAACAAGGATCCGACCTGCTCGCTCGTAGTTGTAAAATTATAATTCAGGGACTTGGGGAAGTCTTTGTGACGGCGTCCATGACTGGCATCAAAGGAGGGGACCTTCGTCTTGGATTTGGCAGCATGGGCTACATGGAGTGAAAAGTATACAGTTTACAAAGAGCAGAGGGCTAGACACAAGAACATGTCACCATAAGAGTCGGGGTACTAATGAAAGGTGACACTCTAAACCGTAAAATGCTAAGTCCGGAATGAAGGAGCCGGTAGATATTGTAATACCCTGGTAAACGTAAGGCCGCTACACAAGAGTGAGGCAAATGATTTTACGAGAAAGTTGGCTTGTTGCGACTTGACAGTTGCTACGATTCCTTGATTCAGGAATGAAGAACAGTCAATATGAGAGGCTTTGGTAGTGGGCGGGCTGCTACCGCGCCTAAACCTATGAATGATGTCTGATAACAGCCCCACATATTGTCATGGAAATTTCAAAAGACTAGCTTCCTACAGATCCGTTTACGGCGGTTGGCCAAAGCGCGTTCGATTTGCAGGGTGCAAATACTTTCTTGCAACCTGATGCGAATGCGTTCTTCAGCGATTCGCAGGTTTTCCTCTGCGTCACATGTTGCCATTTGAAGAGCATTGTCCAATTCCTTATTGGCAACCTCCAACTCGAAATCGCGCCGGTACTTGGCGACCTAAAACATGGAAATAGGAGATACTGACGTGCGAACATCAAAAGATGTGACCCTCAGATAATAGATGGTTCCAAAATTGTTCGTCCGCCCCGTGTTATGGATGAGGTGAACAGTGTTGTCCAAGAATGGTTTCGGTCAGTCTCATTAAACAAAATGCTGGTTACAAGCGAAAGACGACGCGCCGTCACACCTGGCCGATCGCCTATGCCAGCAAATTTATCAGGACAAGTTCGTGCGCTCTGAATGTAGTGAGTTTTTCAGGTGAGGTGGGTGAGAGCACATTACCTTAGCACACTTGGAGCCAGTCTTTTCCATCAGCGAAAGTGACGTAAGGTCGGGTGGAAATCCAAAAGTTGGTCTCAAGTGAAAAACGTGGGAATTGCAAAAAACATTCACCAATGGAGTCCTAATGAGATTACTAATTAAAATTGGTGTGTTTGATAAAAAAAACAGATGTGTAAGAGATGTTTGAAGTGTTTTCTCCACATTTAATGCCACATGACTCGCCAAAGATGTCAGGAGTAGGCACAGAATGATCACTATTGGTGGAATAAACGCTGACGAATTAGGAATAAGTGCTTAAAATCAAAGCCAAAAGACAAGGAATCTACATGCAAAATAAACAGCGACTTCACTAGTCAGGGGCATAAAGTGCTGCTATCCGCCTTTTTAAGGAAGCATCAGCCCACTTCCCCTCCTGCTGTAACTAGGAAGGGGAACTAGGCTTTTGTTTACACGATGTCGTAACAAATCTCCTTTTAGACAGAAGATCCAGTAACGACCGTCTCTCCTTTGATCAAGAGTATACTGGTCACGAGTTCCCATTTTAGAAGTCTACCGGATACTGAGACCCCCCTTCTATTTTTAGATAAATAAAGTAAGACGATGCAGGTAACTATCGGCGGGGAACACGTCCGCGGGCGCGAACTTAAAAAAAACTTTCATCAGCCGACGCTTTCGATGGCCAACCGCAAAACGTGGGGTTACATATATAGTTTAGGAAGGAGATTTTTGTTGGACACGGAAAGGTAGCCCCCGTGTTACAGGGGGTTATAGTTAGGGTTAATATGGTTATAATTAGGGTCCTAGTTAGAGAAAGGTTTAAGGGTTAATGTTATGGTTAGGAGAGTTAGGGATGAAGTTAGGGCACGGGAATAGAAACATCCGGGAATTTAGCAAAAGGCCCTCTGTAGTAGTGTAGACTCATCTTCTCGTGTTTGACCGAGATTCAACAAGATGAAAGGTGCGTTAAAGACTCACATTCAACAGCCCAATAGAAATTGGCAGTCCAACCGCCCCTATATGAAGCGGAATCAATGATGTCATCAAGTCTTGCGAACGACCTGCCAATGGGTAACTGCATTGACTTGCTTATGTTTTATAATATTTGTGTATCTGCATGCAGCCTTAAGTTGATCCAGGCGCTTATAACATACCCATCTAGATTTTCCACTTTCAAATCAATGTTCCCCTTTCTCAATCAATTTATAGGAGTCTCACACATAAGACGTTTTCCTCAAAAACCAACCTGACACCGGATATGATAGGCCTCGTCTACTAGAGCGCTGATTTGTTTCAGCTCAGGAGCTTCGGAGGATTTGAATAATTGAAGTTTTCGGTCAATTTGAAAAATTCTTTCATGGTAGAGCGCCTCCTTGACGGCTTTGAATTCCCATTCCAGTTCACTTATCTCCTCGTTTAGTTCTCGACGAAGTGTCTCAAGATCCGTCTCCATGACCTCCTCACCTTCATTGTCACTGCGGAATTCGCTATCTTCATCGGGCGGTGAACAGTCATCGTCATCACACCTTGGAGCGCCACTCATTCTGCAGTCTTGTTCACGCAGTCTAAAAAACATATAGGCCTGCCTTTGGGAAAACGATAACGACTTTTGGTACACAGGAAGATTAGGACTGGGGATGCAAACAAGGGGAAAGCTTCTGAGTGAACAAAAAGGTTGTATAGTAGAGGTCTCCAATATTTACTTAAAATGAAGGATCTAAAATAGAAATATTAGAATTTAGTCACATCTCGATGTGGGAACGTTGCCGACTGAAAGGTTTTTTAAACTTGCACTCTCAAGTACCCTACATATATGTATGCGAATAACATTGCCGGTAAAGACAATGGAAACTGGAACGGCCATTTCTGGCTTGTTAGTCGTTATCAGTCTGCCATACCCAACCTAGAGGTATGCAACTCCCGAAGATCGAACTCGCGACCTGTTGGCTAGAAGTTAAACGTCCTAACCATTTAGTCAGGGGCTCGTTGTCCTTTTGGTTGCGATCGGGTATATTAATAACGGTAGGAGGGCACGCGCTGATCGCGTTAAGGAACCTACTCATCTCGTTATGGCTTGGATCTCTCTTTCTCGAGTCCCACCAGCAGTCGCACAGCGGCGCGTGAAATAGGTAGGATGGCATTATCGACAAATACAAAGGCGACTGGAACGGCCACTTCCGGCTTGTTAGTCGTTAGGGCGTTGTGTGTCTAGCCAAAAGGTCGCGAGTTCGAGCCTCGGGGGTTGCACACCTCGGGGTTAGGTATTGCTGGCTGGTGACAGACAACAGGCTGCAAATGGCCGTTCCAAAGGAGGCTCGATCACCATTTTGGAGGAAACAGACTGCAAAGAGGAAATGCTGTCATTGTAAGAAGACAGGTCTACCTACAAACCACTCTACGGACCCCCACCAAAGCACAGGCTTTATCCACTGATAAAGTGTTGGAGCGTCTCACAGGGAAGAAACAACTGTCAAGAGCCATCGCTAACCCTCTCAAACAAGCTGAACCGATCATCACGAAGATGTATGGATTATCGAAAGTTCACAAGATCGAGGTCGCACTGTGACCGACAGTATCACTAATCGGTAGATTTAAGTACAAAATTTCCAAATGGCTATTTTAAGAGCTTTATCCCCTCGCGAAGAATTGTGAAACTCCAATCGAAAGCTCAACTGAATTCCTAAATAAATTACAAGGAGTCACAATTCCCACCAAAGGATAAATGATCTCCTTTGATGTAATCTCCATTGTCACGTCTATACCGCTGGATTTCGCAAAATAATGCACCAAAGAACTCCTATTGTGCTACGACACTGATGTTCCCGCCGCTGCCTGGAAACTCACTGTTCGTGCGACCACCAATGTTATGAGCAACTGGAAGGAGCTTCTATGGAGTCACCCATTTCTGGTTTTCTCGATGACTTAACAATGCAGAAACTAAAGGCTACGGCGCCTCCGTTAGTTACTCTTATATTGTGGCTGAGATAGGTGGATGACACATTCGTTATCGTAAAAAAGGACCTGGAAGTGTTCGACAACATTATCAACTCAATAATTCCTAGGATTAAATTCACACTTAAAAAGGAAACTGACTGCAAAATCCAACTTCTGGGTGTTCTTGTGCAGCGAAAGGCCGATGGAACGTTACATGCATCCGGTCAATGGACAGTGACTTCTGTTGATGTCATTTTACCCTATAAGGGCAGCCAGCCCATTACTCACAAACGGGATACTGTCAACAGTTTGTTTGGTCAGGCAAAAACAAATTGTTTTGACGAAGAAGGCCATCAAGTCAAACTGAATTGCTTGTGTGAATCATTTTTTGCAGAATGGGCACTCTAAGGATTTCGTACGCAGATGGATGTGGCAACAGGAACCAAGGCAGAAGGAACAGGGTAGTCCCAATCAGACGCCTAAACTGTGTACTTGGCGAACTTTAAGAACACTAAGAATGCGGCCGAACTCGTCAAAAGACATTTAAAAAAGCATCAACTTCGAGTGGGACACAAACCTACGACTACTTTGCGTTCTCAGCTGGTACATCCTAAGGATATGGTCGGCCAGCTAAACAAGAAAGAGGCTGTCTGCAAGACCCCCTGTGATGCATGTGCTGCCGTTTATTGTGGTTAGACTGGAAAATCCGCCTCTACACGCATTCAGGAACACCGGTTGGCGGTGACGAGGCGAGACCATCTACCCCAAGTAGCCATGCATATCCTGGACACCGGACACACCTTCGTTTGGGACAAAGCTCGCATTGTCACTGTCTGCCCTTTAAAGGAAGGCCAAGAGTTCCTTGAGGCCATGCACTCAAAATGAATTATGCGTCAACCGGCATATCGAGTTGGATGCCGTGTACAGAAACCTCAAGGAGAAATTAAGGATAAAAAGCCAATCAGAACAGACTCGCACATACAACGGCTGCCTACCGGCGCAAATGCCAAGTAAGTATCGATTAAATGAGCTCTTGCGACGTTAAGTGCTTTCTTGTTCTCACATTTTCTCTCCATCTGCGTCTGGCAACAACCTGGGAAACAAGCGTCGAAAAATCACGTGATACAGTTTCTTGGGGTCGATTCAAAACCCGGCTCGACACAGTTCGTCGAGGCGAGTAATTAGTTCTCAGATCTTCGATACTCAGCTTCCGTCGCTGGGGAAGAGAATGGGTCGAGCTGTCCAGATCCTCTGCCGCGGATCGTCAAGCGTGGAGGCCGGCTAGATCAGGTATGATCAGAGCTGAAGTAAATGTCATTGCAGTTCTGTGTCCAGGGTCGCACTTGGCCCAATATATAGTTGTTCTCAGCGGTAGTCTTCTAGTCATTTTTGGATGCTGAAACCTATCAGCCATAACTGACCTATTGTCATCAGTCAGATCAAATAGTGCATCGCCAATGGCAAACATTCCTTGGGTGTTTGGATTATTTTTTCTGGCGCACGCGATTCAACCCCGAAACAATTGTTTTGCTGTTTGATGAAACGACTGATTGAATTTCATGAAAGCGGCCACGTGACTCGTAATTTTCGTTATCATGCGCGTTGAACGTAAGGATACAGACAGTGTCCGCACACCGGTTCCTGGCTGTGTTTTGCAGGCGATGTGGAGATCTGTGGTGATCTGCAGTCTATGGTGTCACGGGTGAATGAGGTCGCTAAATCGGTCGGTTTACCCATAAACGCTGGGAAGACTAAAGCGTTTTCAAGCTGCATCCCTGACCAGGAGAAGGCAACCGTCGGGATTGATGGCTGTCAACTTGAAAAAGTAGATATTTTAAATAACTAGGGGCGGGCCTGCTGGCTAATGGACAGAGTAAGGACGACACTGTCTCACAAATCGATTCTGCTCGCTGGGCTTTCTCAAGCCTTAGAAAATGCCTATGGACCCGAGGTGACCTCTCCATCGTCACAAAGATTCGTGCGTACCGTGCATCTGTCCGGTCCGGCCGTCTATGGTTGTGAATGCTGGGCTGTGAGTGTGGAGGACGAGCGAAAACTGGAGGTATTTGACCACGACTGCTTGAGGACCATCCTTCGAGTGAAGTACACCGACTTCGCCTCAAATGAGACAGTCCGCACCCACTGCGACAACATCGCAAGAATAACTCAAGCCATCCAAGAAAGGCCAGTGTGGTGGTTCGGGTATGCTCTTCGTCGTCCACCTCAGGAGCTCAGTGTTACTGCCCTTGATCCGGAACCGTTATCCCACTGGAGGCGTCGGTGTGGGTCAACTCAAAACCTGGCTCGAAACAGTTCGTCAAGACATGATGGTGGTTCTTGGACGTTCGGTATTCGGTCTCCGTGGTTGGACTATCCACATCTGCTGCCGCGGATCGTCACGCGTGGAGAGGTACAGTTCGAGACATCATCGGGCCGGCTATATCAGGCATGATCGCAGTCGTATCAAGTACAAGTACGAGAGAGACAGTTCCCAGCCCGTGAGTGACTTGCTCGTCTGTCGATGTAGCACAAGTGCGACTCCATGTCTGACGAAATTATTATTCAGCACATGGTAGCGGAGGTAGCAGGCTATGTCTGATCTTGATATTCTGGTTATTCCAGTGCTAGAATCAGGTTCCCTGCATGGTTGTAGAGCATTCTGTAGAGATGAGAGTTATGTTTGTCTAGGATTTACGGCGGTTACATAAGAACCATAATGAACCATTGGCAGACTGTGGTTTGCGAATAATGACCCTGAAGGATCAACTAACTGTTTATGCACACTACGGTCCACTGTGTCGTCCAACGGCGGTTGGAGCAGCGCATTATCGATGCCGACTTCAACAGGATTTCATGCCTATCGGAGAGTTGACTTCTGCGGATTTCCGTATACACAAACCAGCTACGTAACTGGACATATTACACCAGCAGATCTTCTACTGTCGCCACACGACAGTTCGACCGTCGATTTCGACGATGTCCACCGTGTGCCCCACAGCTGCAGCAGCGGTGGGAGCAGGGACGGTGACTTGCGCAGGGGTTTATAGTGCCAGTAGACTTGCGCTGCATCTACCTACACTCTCTCCTGTCGCCACACACACACACACACACAGGACCATGGCCGGCACTGCAGCCGGGACGATTTGCTCACTATTTACATCCTGCATTTGGAGGAATATTTCTCAACATATATTCTCGTATAATGAGTGTGGTAAAAAGCATGTAGGGTTGTCTCAATATCGTAGTACTTCTGATTCCCCGCCCTCGCAAACGACGATGTGTACGCAAAGATTATTAACATGCATTACGTCACTCTATGTTACTGGCAGCGTAACTAATAACAGACCTGAGAGAGACAGTCTGGACCGTAACGACGGATAAGTAAACCTGACCACTTAACTACGACGTGGATTGCAGAAAACGCCGCTTTTCCGCCACATAAAAATGGTGACGGCAGCCCAGTGCACTAGTGCCCATGGGCATTCGGAACTACACGTAAGTTTTTATCAGATGTGTTCAACATGTGAAACAAATCCAAAAGTGCGAAAGCAGACTTCCTGGGGACGCCGTAAACTGGCCCCAAGTAACCAATAACCTCACTATGAAGTG